GACAAACAAGTGCACAATACGGACATTCCCACATCGCTGCCATCGACTTTACACAGGTCTTTCCCCCACTGAAGTCCCCAAAGAAATACATGCAAAGCCCATCCTTAAGGAGCCACCTCTGGCTTTCATACGACCCCCCCAACAACCTTTAACAGGCAATATCCAGGTGCTTTTAGAACAGAAATATTAACAACAGGCAGGCTTTTAGCTCCCCAAAACTGAGGTCCTCCTAGTTGAGAGCCACCCCAACAAATGCTCAGAGGTCTGTGCACAGCTAGTTCTGATTTTCATCTTGCAACAAGAAATCCCAGCTTTCTGACACAGTCCTGCAAGAGATAACAGCAGGGAAGTCTCTTTAGTGACGCAGCTTCACACTTGTCAAGCTCCCATCTGGCATCCCCGTCCCTAGAGGTATTTAAAAGACAGGTAGACGAGGTGCTTCGGGACATGGTTTAGTGGTGGAATGGCAGGGGTTTTAGAACAGAAATATTAACAACAGGCAGGCTTTTAGCTCCCCAAAACTGAGGTCCTCCTAGTTGAGAGCCACCCCAACAAATGCTCAGAGGTCTGTGCACAGCTAGTTCTGATTTTCATCTTGCAACAAGAAATCCCAGCTTTCTGACACAGTCCTGCAAGAGATAACAGCAGGGAAGTCTCTTTAGTGACGCAGCTTCACACTTGTCAAGCTCCCATCTGGCATCCCCGTCCCTAGAGGTATTTAAAAGACAGGTAGACGAGGTGCTTCGGGACATGGTTTAGTGGTGGAATGGCAGGGTTAGGGTAACGGTTGGGCTTGATGATCTTAAAGGTCTTTTCCAACCTAAGCAATGCTATGATTCTTTAACTCAGTACGACTCTTGTGCCTCCAGATCACCAGCACACTGGCCGAGACTTTGGAGTCTGTCTACACCTACGTGTGCACATCTACATCTTCATTTTTATGCTTAGCACAATACAGACCACTTATTTTAATGCACCATTTGAATAGGCAATTTATCATTTAAAAGTAATTTAAAGCAAACGACCAACCAGCAGGAACCAGCTATCACAGTTAAAGTGCTAAGCGGAGTCTCTGAACAAACTCCTGGAACACGAATTCACCAAAAGAGCACCTTTCACAAAAGACTGTTTTCCTCATGTGTTTCCTCCAACTAGTTAAATTTAAGATACAGCTCTTAAAAAGCTGAGAAAATTATTCAAAAGCAAAAAAAAAAGCCATCCCAAGCTGAAAGGAAAATAAGGTGAGAGGCTGAGATCTTCGAACTCTAAAATCCTTAACGACATGATGATCAGAAAGTCTTTTCATTCGCTGTGTGATAACACTGATGCTGTATTATTGACAGTAAGAAACACCATTTCTCAAGGAAAAAAAAAATATATAAATTTAACACATAAGTAGAGGATGGAAAGCAAGGTTTCCTGTTTGCAGATTTATATCTAAAAGCAGTAGTTTACAATGCCTGAATTTAAATATCAATCCTCTGGTACAGCGGGCGGGAGTTTTCCCCGTATCATTCAGATTTTTCAGAAATGGACATTTTAAAAACTCTGCAAGAAGCCCAAGTTTCAGAGACGTGCAGCCAGCACTTTCAGAAGAACAGGCGTCCCTAGCATAACTGCACAGTGGTCACTTGGAAACTGAAGGAACCAGGCTCCCCGGTCCCTTTAAAAGAAAACCTCACTTGTGAAAATAATTTCAGCAAGTGCTAATTGCACTTCTCACGTAACAGCCTGGCTGAGTGGCATCTGTTTTTCTGACTGCTCAAAAGTTGCATTCACTTCTAAATCTCCTTTACACTTGAAAGTCTTACCAATATTCAGAGCTTATGTTTTTTATTATTTTTTATTTGTTTTTAAAATCAGTATGGCTACACTCGTAGAAGCTGAAGTGTGAACACCAGTTAAACTGGGATAAAGCAGCTCGGATCCTTTGTTCCCATTCCTTCATGGAGCAGATGGCTCAGCCTGACCGCCACAAGGAAAATTGTCATTTTAACCGTTCCAGTCATCAATTTTTAAGCGCAGACAAGCTCCCAGCGAGTCAGCCATCAGCACGAACTGACACAGGTCCCCCCGGTATGATTGGCAGGTGCATGTACAGGTCCCCAGACAACAACCCCATTCAATCTGACCTTTTCATTTTAAATGAAAAACACTTAAAAGCTTGCCCCATTCTGACATATGTATTTTCACATCTTTCCCATGCTGTGCCAAGATATTAGTTATTTGCTAGCCAAAGTCCCCAAACTCAGAAATCTCATGTTATCTCCTCTGCTGTGGGAACCCTGATCCTCAGCCGTGCTGGCCACTGCCAGCACCGAGGGAGCCGTCTGAGGTCTCCACATCCTCACACATCGGAAAAATTAAACCCCTCACATGCAAACCTCAATTCAGAGTCCAACCCTGATTTCAAATGCAGTTTATGAAGTGTAAAGCTACCCATGTGCAACACAGCCACCCGGAGAAACAGACTGATCTTGCTATCCCGGGACAGCGATGCCTGCAGGATCTGGCCCTAGCAGCTCTCAGTGTTTGCTTCTGTGCTTCTCAGGTTTCATTTATTAAACTGCTCGATTCAAAAGTACGCTGCTGAAGTTATCTAATAAAAAGATCATGCAAGATAACAAAGCTGGAGAGGCGTTTCCTCCGCTCTGCTGCCAGCAGCGGCACCTGCTCAGGGAGTCATCAATACAAACAGCGAATACGCCCGGCTGCTGCCGTTTGGGAGGCCAGATCCTGCGCTGGTGTAGAGCAGCAACTACGTGAATGGCGAGTTTCGATCTGCAAGGAAGCACACACCCCTCCTTTATCGTCTTCGGCACGGAGCTGCTTTTAAATCTGCCACAACCCCATGTGTCAAAATTGGCCGTAATGGGACTTATCGCTTCCGAACTCCTGGTCCGACCATCGTGTGGAAGGAAGGCCGATGCCGGCTGCAGCACAGACTGTCAGCTCCGATGGGGCAAATTAGCTCCCGTAGCAGAGCAAACTCGCCGGCAGCCCCTGCGTGCTGCAGGGCAAGAGCCTGGTGTTACAGCATTGCCCTGCGGGAGCCCCGGGGTCCGGCAGCAGCGGCACACCTGGCTTTGGGGCCAGGGGGCTCAGCTTTGTCCTTGCTGTCACACTCCATTTTCAGGTTTGTCCTGGGGTTCCTAAAATGAGACTAAAACAAGATGGGGGGAAAAAAAGCAGCAGGAGAGTAGGAAGAAAAAGGAGGAGAAACCGCTCCAAGAGGCATGGCAGCACCGAAGGGATGAGATCCAGCTTGCTCTAAAGGGATGACATCCAGCTATCCCAAATGGAGACTGCCGTGTTACAACAAACGAAAAAGTTATTTGGAGCAGGACAGATTTAAGCGTGGCCGAGGAAGCTGGGAGACAGCCCGACCCACAGCACCCCGGCAGCCGGGAGCCACCCCACTGGCTCCCAGCCGGAGCCACGGGGCGATGGTTGGGGACCAGCCCATCGGCAGGACCAGCTATGTCACACCCCTGTTATTTTAAACACACGAGGACAGCTAGAAAAGAAGGGTGGCTAAGGAACGAGAGGAATCGACACGTCTATGCCAGAAAGCCTGCGGGTCCCACGCTGGAGCGACCTTTCAGCAGCTCCCCAGCACTGCCAGCAGCATGGCCTGTGATTTAC